AAGTTTTGAACGACTGCACGGTTGTACTCCCTTCCCACGGGCGGGAGGAACCCGAAGGAGGCTACGCCGAAGGGCGGAGTCTCCTTCGGGGAGGTAAAACCGGCCCTGAACCCATTTATACGGGTTCAAATGGGCTATTTTTTGGCCGAGCCTAATGGCTCGGGAATGCCCACGTTAAAAAGGCCTTGTGCCACATGACGCCCTCGTGGGGGGGTGACTGAATATTGTCAGTAGTTCAAGTCGAGTCAAGAGTCGAGTCAGAGGCAGTCCGAAACAGAGTCGCGTTCAGACAATTACTACAAGACATTGGAATAGTGATACTGGTCGAGACTACATTGTTCTCCCTATTAAACCTGATTGTTCGTACTAACACTTTCTACTTCTCTGTATATATTCCTGTTTGTAATATATCTGTGTTATTCCATATCCGTGTTCGAGTTCTTCTTTATTGGTTCTACCTTGGACTATCACCGTGGTACAAGGACCCTAACAATAATAATAATAACTATAAAAATTAGTATTAGTAATAATAGTAGTATTAGGGGTAGTAGTAGTAATGAAGTCTGGAGTGAAGTCCGTCAGGAATCTGTCAGTCAGTCAGAGCGAGCGAGCGAGTGAGTCAGTCAGTCAAGTCAGAGGCAGTCCGAAACAGAGTCGCGTTCAGACAATTACTACAAGACATTGGAATAGTGATACTGGTCGAGACTACATTGTTCTCTCTACTAAACCTGATTGTTCGTACTAACACTTTCTTCTTCTCTGTATATATTCTTGTTTGTAATATATCTGTGTTATTCCATATCCGTATTCGAGTTCTTCTTTATTGGTTCTACCTTGGACTATCACCGTGGTACAAGGAACCGGACCATAACAAATTCAAAACTGTTTCCGAGTTCTTGTGGGTGACAAATTACTTTTCCACCCTCCAACCTCTCTCTCTCTCTCTCTCTCTCTCTCTCTCTCTCTCTCTCACTCACTCACTCACTCACTCTCTCTCACTCTCTCTCTCACGCGCGCGCGCGAACACACACACACAGAGGCGAGGTGTGGAAAGCCTCTCAGTGCTCTCTCTCTCTCTCTCTCTCTACTTCCATGGAAAGTGCTCGGACGAACTACATTCCTTGATTCCGTCGGGTCTAACCTTCCAGGTTAGGACCCGCCATGCCAACCAACATTGTAGCAAACCCCCCACATTCCCTCTGTATTCCATCGGTGAGAAATAAGTTCCACTCGAACAGCTCCTTCCCGCGAAGCACTGGTCCGTGAAACCAACTCGATTACTACATTCTTAACCTCTTCAAGCCTAGCTTTAACCGTTATCCCCCGTTTTTATCCGTATCGTCTGCCTCTTAATGTAACCTTCTACCACGAGTGGGGTCCCCTGGAACTTATACGAACCAAAATGTAAATACTAGTTATAGTTTTTAATTAAACTGCAACACGATTGAGTATTGGAAAACAAGTGAGAATTGAACGTCATCGGATTGCTAAGTAGCGTGAAATAAATAAATATCCCGATTCGATCAATGACGCGTTACCTACACAGACATAACCGATAAGCAAATATGAACAGACCAAGATTATAAAGTTAAATAGACTGATATTAATTGGCTAAAAGTAATTGATAGATATAGGGAGATTGCAAAAATATTCTTTAGATGATTTTAGTGTGGCATAAGGCCAAATCGGAACTATTTAGGAAAGGGTAACTGCACGGATAATCAGTTTTCAAATATCATTCGCTGATCGTATTAGGATATATTAGTATTATATATATATATATATATATATATATATAATATTAGATCGTATTAGGATATATTAGTATTATATATATATCGTATTAGGATATATTATTCTACTCATGCTGACACCCGAACACACACATATACACACACACGCAGTCACACACATATAATGATGATATTAGTGATCAGTATGGATATTTCCAAAAGCATATAAATCCATGCAGAGCTCTATGTCAAAGACAGAACAATAATTATTATTAAAAGATACGAAATCTTAAAATTTCATGAGGTTATATTTATTTCATTAGGTTCGTAAAAACGGTCCCAATTCATCATATATATATATGAAGAAATATAGTTTTAAGGTGTGTTATATTTATGGGATAAAGTGCTCAATGTCAGAGATATCGTGTAGGTAAATATAAATATAAAAGTGAATATTGAAGTTAACAATCAGAGGCGACAGGTTCTTTCATGCTGGACGCAATCGTCAGGCCGCCTAACAGTTGCGTCCAGCGTCAAACAGCCTGTCGCCTCTGAGTGTTGACGTCAATGTTCGCTTCTGAAGGGCCGAATAAAGAGACCTGGTGCACTACCTACCACAAGGTCCCCAAACGACCCTCCACAGGTTTTGAATTCAGAGTTGATCTTCTCCTAGACCAGTTGCCACCCAGGGCTATAGAGCCCAGTCTGTCCTACTATTTACCCATAGCTGGAGGGGTAGAAGCGGCTTCATAATTTTCCCAAGGCTATTAGCACGGTGGAGCAATGAATAGAGACTTGGACTGAGGGATCGGAGAGCCGAGTTCGAATTCAGTGGAATCCATTACATTCAATTACGTGATAATACATATATATATATATATATATATATATATATATATATATATATATATATATATACCTATAAGTATAGGATTGGTGTATACGGAATAAATTCCAATAACCAATAGTTACTATTCTTAAAAGAGTCCTCAATACAGAGTAGAGCGAATATATATAATTGTTTAAAAATTATGACATAAATATGTTATATAATCACTAGAAAAATAGCCATTTTGTTTCAACATCTCCGGTGTCCTATCAAGTGGTGATGTTAAATGTAGATTCTACATTCAACATCATCCCATACTCCCCCGAACTAAACCACCTTGAAGAAGCTAACAAAATTTCTTGGGACACCAAAGATAAACTGAAGGCAAGGATTATGAAGCATTCACCAACTCAAACAAAGACACCACCCAGAAGAGATGCAGGAGATTCAGACGTCGTCTGGAGACCGTTTCCGAAGCCCATGGTGATTTTATTGAATAAAATTATTTTTTAGTATTTTAAGACATTATTGTGTAATTTTGGTAAATATATGTCTTAAAATGAAGATGTTAGTGTAATTTTCATTTTTGAACCGTCATATAGCCTGACGTGCTATACCATTTAGCTACAGAGGAATCGTCTGGTTAGCAAAGCCAGGCTATATGACGGTTCCGTATAAAATACAGGTTCGATTCCTTTGAGAGGTCTCATATCCTATGAAATTTCTCGAAGATTCAGGCCGGTAAATGTTGTCTAATACTGTTTATTATAAACAGAGCATTTACTTAAATATCTGTATCTATAAAAAGAATGTATAAACAAATGGCCATACAGATGGAATATTAAATTGTGGATCAGTTTTAATATTTTATATGATTAGGATTTACTTGGATTACTTACCCACATTTTTTTCTATCTATCTATCTATCTATCTATATATATATATATATATATATATATATATATATATATATATAAAACACACGTGCATACACTTTAGAGTATTTTTATATTAATAGTTGTTAATGGTCATTTAAGACAAAAATCATTTGTAATAATACAGGATGCATCCGAAATACATCCCACAGATATCTACCGGAAATACTTCCCAAATAATTGTAAGATATTAGCTCGATGAAGACACCATTGACAATTATGTCTTGCCCTTATGTGGGGAGTAGTTTCAGGAGGTATGTGTGGGAAGTATTTCTATAAATACGATCGAACTTGTTCTGTTCTGTCAGAGAATGTGGCACCCACGTGTCTAGATCGGAAATTGCGTCGTCACGTGGGCGATGTTGTGAAAATGTATTCCTAAAATTTGAGTATTTTGAATGAAAAACGAAAAGAATTTTATTTTGATCTAAAACTTATATGTGACGACGACGTGATCATATTTAAACGGAACGCTGATCTTATAAAAGATTTCAGTTATCTGTTTGGATTGGTCTTGCTTTTATGTCCATCGTCTTTTTCATGTTGAATTGAATATGGTCTATGATAATTATGTTTTATGAATATGTCCTGAAGATGGTCTATTAGACCTAAACGTCCGACGTTGACATTATATTAACATTAAAACAGCATAATTGCATATTAGGATTTTTGTTTGTTTTTTTCGTATATTTTTCTTCATATATATATATATATATATATATATATATAAAACGAATATATATATATATATATATATATATGTCTATGTGTAAGTGTGTGTTTGTGTGTGTGGCCGTTCAAATTTGAGAATAGCATAGATAGGCCACACTATCCAAATGTTTTTATAAGCTTGCTAGCTTCTCAATATTTTATAAGCTTACTAAGTTCTCAGTATAACTTTAACCAAATTATCGAATATGCAAAGGAACTTAATAGGCGAAACTCGAGTTACATGAAAGACTGGTTTAAAATTTAGTTTATTCCCTTTCTTTAATCTGACAGCATATACATACATACATATATGTGTGTATGCGTGCGTGTGTGTAAGTGAATGAATCTACCTACTTATGTAATATGTAGCGGAAATATAGTGAGAGATTGTTCAGCAGAAGCATCTGCACATGCGCATTACCTCTCACACACATGGATACAATTGATCTAAATGGGTTATCGATTTCATAAAAATGTATATTCTATGTGTTTTAATGGACAGCAATCTTGCACGTGTTTATTATGGGTACGTATTTCTTCAACTTATATATTTCTTTTCTCTCTCTCACTATCAATATATATATATATATTTCTCTCTCTCTGTCAATGTCTCTTTCAATATATATATTTATATATATATATATATATATATATATATATATATATAAATTATATATATATATATATATATATATATATATATATATATATATATATATATCTTCAACTGTCCCTTGTCTGTCTGCTAGTTAATCTAAGTATTTAACATCGCAAAATATTTGTATCTTTCAGTCCATAATAATCTATCTATCTATCTATCTATCTATCTATCTATCTCACTCTGTTCATACCTCTGTATTTCAGTATGTTCATTATCTATCTATATATATATCTATTTCTCAGGCTGTCCATATCTATCTATCTTATTGGAGCTATCTCGATTTTTATCTATTATTTATCTCTCTCATGCCGTTCATTATCGTTTCATATATGTTATCTCTTTCCTTATCTATTTTAGTCTATTCAGCTCTCTCTCTCTCTCTCTCTTTTTCTCTCTCTTGATATATATATATATGTATATGTACTTGATCTCAGTCTCTTCATATCTACTCTGTTTATATCTCTCTATCTCAACCTGCTCATATCTCTCTATCTTTCGATCTATCTCAGTCTATTCATATCTATCTGCCTTTTCACATCTGTCAGTCTGTTCATATGCATCTCTCTCTCTCTCTCTCTCTCTTTATATATATATATATATATATATATATATATATATACTTGATCTCAGTCTATTCATATCTATCTGTCTTTTTACATCTATATCAGTCTATTCATATGCATCTCTCTATCTATCTCAGTCTGTTCATGTCTATTTATCTCAGCCTATTTTATATCTATCTCAGTCTGTTCATATCTATTTATCTCAGCCTATTCATATCTATTCTATCTATCTATCTATCTATCTATCTATCATCTATCTATCTATCTCAGTCTGTTTCTATCTATTTATCTATCTATCTATCTATCTATCTCAGTCTGTTTCTATTTATCTCAGCCTATTCATATCTTTATCTATCTATCTATCTATTTATATCTATCTATCTATCTATCTATCTCAGTCTGTTCATATCTAACTCATCCTATTTTTATCTCAGCCTATTCATATCTATCTATCTATCTATCTATCTATCTATCTATCTATCTATCTATCTATCTATCTATCTATCTATCTCAGTCTGTTCATATCTATTTATCTCAGCCTATTTATATCTATCTATCTATCTATCTCAGTCTGTTCATATCTATTTATCTCAGCCTATTCATATCTATCTATCTATCTATCTATCTATCTATCTATCTATCTATCTATCTATCTATCTATCTCAGTCTGTTCATATCTATTTATCTCAGCCTATTTATATCTATCTATCTATCTATCTCAGTCTGTTCATATCTATTTATCTCAGCCTATTCATATCTATCTATCTATCTATCTATCTATCTATCTATCTATCTATCTATCTCAGTCTATCATATCTATTTATCTCAGTCTATTCATATATATCTATCTATCTCAGCCTATTCATATCTCTATTTATCTAGCCTATTCATATCTATCTATCTATCTATCTATATCTATCTATCCCAGTCTGTTCATATATATTTATCTCAGCCTATTCATTATCTATCTATCTATCTATCTATCTATCTATCTATCTATCTATCTATGTTCATATCTATTTATCTCAGCCTATTCATATCTATCTATCTATCTATCTATCTATCTATCTCAGTCTGTTCATATCTATTTATCTCAGCCTATTCATATCTATCTATCTATCTATCTATCTATCTATCTATCTATCTATCTATCCCAGTCTGTTCATATCTATTTATCTCAGCCTATTCATATCTATCTATCTATCTCAGTCTGTTTACATCTATCCATCTCTCTATCTGTCTCTGTCTGTTCATACCTATATCTCTCTCTAGCTGTCTATCTCAGTCTTTTATATTTGTCTATCCCATTCTGTTTCTATCGGTTCAGCTTTCAGTCAGATGCTTGGGTTCTTATATAATTGAATAGATAATTGATATAATGTGCCTAATTAGTTTTAATGTTCACCTCTAAGAGGCAGTCATTTTGAAAGTATTTCCGTGCCTTTCTTGGTTTAGGGCTAAACGAGTGCCTGTGAGTGTGTTCATGTATATGTAGCTGTGTGTGAGTTTGTGGGCGAAGGAGGTCACGCATCTTTATGTCTGCATGTATACGTTTCTCTGTATGTGTGCGATTGGATATGTACATACGCTATTTATTCCGATATCGTGTTTCTCTGAATTTCTGTGACTTTAAACGATCAAAAGACCAATTGGTCATTTTGACAAATTTGCCTCTCTCCGATGTTTTTGTCCTCGAAAAGTCCACGTGGTCATTATCAAATCTTTTCATGAGTATTTAAAGCGTCCATTGCACGCAAAATAATAAGGGTATTAGGCAGGACAGGGCCTTGAGGGCCTATTTTAAAAAAAAAAAAAAAAAAAAAAGGAAAAGAATTTGTTTTTTCGACTCCACAAGAAAAACGTTTTTCTGTATTCAGAATTTATATTGATACACGTATAACTACCGGACACGGTGGATAAATTGTCGTCCAAACTACGCAAAAATGAAAAAAGCACTGACATCTCAATTTAATAGATATATCTACCAAACTGACACAAAAATATCTTGAAATATTAAAGAGTAAATTTATTCAATAAAATCGCTATTGCCTTTAAACACGGCCTCCAGACGACTTCTGAATCTCCTGCAACTCTTCTGGACTGTCTCTGTATTTAAGTTGGTGAACGCTGCCATAATCCTTGCCTTCAGTTCATCTTTGGTGTTACAAGACGATCTAATGGTTTCTTGCTCAACTGCGCCCCACACAATAATCAAGGGGGTTGTAGTCTGGGAAGATAGGCAACCAGATGTAAAGAGCGACGTGATCGCAGAAATTGTCTGACAGTGATGACTAGATTCCCATGCTTATGTGGCATAGTGCAGAGTCCTGTTGCCAGATATAGGGTCTTCCAGAAGACCCCCACCTCTTGACCCAGTGGAGCACTACCTCCTCAAGGAACTTGATGAAGGCCTTTGTGTTGAGTTTGATCCCCGCACCAAACAAATTCGGGAGTTCTTATCAGAACGATCAGAGTGGGTTTTCCGAGATGCCGTACCTTCGTAATCACCATTAGACTCATCCAACTCTTTCCGTACCCTCCTCTGCACTATCCTCAGATTGAAACTCAAACACTCTGAAATGTTCGTATTGGAGTTTCCGGCGCGAATACCAAGCAGTACAGCAAGTGTCATGGTCCTCTTTTTCAACAGACAGTGTCCAACTCACCCTAGTATATTGTAAGGTCGACAAAGTAAAAAACAAGCACGCATGCATGAAATTAAAAATATAAAATAGCGATAATTCACACATGCACACTGTATATATATATATATATGTGTGTGTGTGTGTGTGTGTGTGTGTGTGTGTGTGTTAAAAGAAAAGAAATACCGCAAACATTTTTGGTTATAATGCGGATTTGTTTTAGGGTATATATGATATTTTATTCGTTATATTTTTGCTACATGGGTTTCCGGTCTCCTGATCTTCTTCAGGCAAATTAAAGGAATCACTTTTTAAAGGAATAAATTTCTTCCTTGTGTTCTTTGAATGTTTCATTGTTGATTTTCTGTATATGTAGTGAGCCATGATTTCATTTTTGGACTGTTGGCAAAAGTGAATTTCTTCCTAAGTGCTAATAAAATCATTAGGCTTGAAGTTAGTGGTGGCGATGACACACACACACACACACACACACATATATATATATGAATAAAAAGACAAAAGGAAAACTATTAGCCGACGCGGTTCGGCCTATGAGAGACTTTATCAAGGCAAAAGTAAGGATTTATTTTGTTGCCTGTGTTTGTATACAATAGCAAGGATGTCTCTGGTTCAGCAAGGCTTTTAAATTTGACAACATTCATCAGAAGGTCAGTCGAAATGTGGATGGCACAAAGTATCATATTTCAAAGACAAAATTAAGTGAGTAACATTCGAAAAAAATTTTAATAAATCAATATATATATATATATATATATATATAAAATAACGTCTGTTAAAGTGTTCCATTATATATATATATATATATATATATATATATATATATATATAAACACACTTATACATATATATATATATATATATATATATATATATATATATATATATATATATATATAATGGAACACTTTAACAGACGTTATTTTAAATAACGTGTATTTCGGAATTCTCTCAAACATGTTTTGTTAATAAGGACAAGTTCTGTCTATCAATTTTTTTTTATTAAATCTTTCAAATTTCTGAATATGCTGTTTTATCGGTAAATTAAATTTATTTATTTTTATTTGAAAGTACATTCGAATGATACTTCATTCATTTTCAAGGATTGATTTCTTTGTCGTTACACATTAAAGTACCTTTCTCCCTAGGGGACCATATATTGAAATGTGTTTTTAAAAAAATCATTTTGACCGTTTATATGATGTCTCCTTGACTAACTTGAAATCCGTTCCATCAAACGTGACAACGTCGGAATTTAAATCCATTTGCATAACTACACACAGAAGAATCTTTGAAAAGGAATGGAGTATCATTCGACAGTACTTGTGAAAAAGATATATATAAATTAAAACTCAATACGAATTTGGGAAAAAATTTACGATAAAACAAAACAACTTGTTCGGAAATGTATGTATTGTTTATAATATATATATGTGTGTGTGTGTATGTATTGTTTATAACTCATATATATATATATATATATATATATATATATATATATATATATATATATATAGTTTATGACATTTTAAATGTAAGAACGCTCATAAATATTCACCAGGCTTTCTGAAGCGTCTCGGTAAACTATGGAGGATTTTAAGTGACGTAATGTCTAAGAAAAAAAATTCAACATCAACAACATTTGCTCAGTTGTTTATTGGACATTAATTTACGTCACTTAGTATCTTCCATTGTCACTTCGTATTGCCGGCTAAGATAAGATTTCCTTTTGTCTTTATTCATATTTTCCTTTTGTTGATATATTTTTGGATACATTTGAAATTTTACACACGCACACATATCTGTTTGCATACACACATAACCACACACACACACACACATATATATATTTTATTTTTCGTTTATGCAATTTAGTTATAGATCAAATTAAATTCGTTGTTAAGAATGTTTGTTCTAAATTTAGAATCATTTTTGTTGATTCCCAATACATATTTAGATAGAAATAGTCCAATGTCTGGACACCTTCGGTACTTTTAGCCATTCTCAAAGACTTTTATTTATGTAATTTCTTTTTTGAATTTTGTTGTTTGCTTCTTTTTCAGATATCACGTTTTCACGTGATTTCGCGAGTTTTTATGTCGTATACACACACACGCGCGCACATACGCACACAGATATATATGTGTGTGTGTGTAAAAAGTGAATGAATATATATATATATATATATATATATATTATATGCGCGGTACTTATTAGAAAGCGCTCAATATCAGAGACAGAGCTAACATATCCCCCCTCCAACACACTTCCATAATAACACCATACACGCAATCTACATAAATCCAAGTTTGTCTGACGATCACAAAAGCGTGAAACCCAGGGTCACAATCTCACATCAACCCAAAATATGTATAATGTCATCCACAGACAGACTGTTTCGCTATATCACAGCTCTATCAGTGTGGCTAAACGTCCGGTTGCTTCTAGTTAGGATCGAAACCCGACTGAATTGGCGTCAGTCGGAGATTCTACCACTAAGCCGTCGACAGAGTGAGAGAGAGCGTCAGAGACAGAGTAATAAATATAAGTGACTATTCATTTATCTTTTTTTCGATAAGAACTGCCCGGAGATTACGTGTGGATATAATCTCCGTGAAACTCTTACTGGAGATTGAATGAATGAAGAGCTAATTTTACGGAGTAACGGTAAGATAAGTAAACATTTCATTATTCAGAGTAGAGGTAAAGTAATTAAACATTTTCTTTTTATTCATTTAACACCCCACCCCCAAGCAAGGCAATAAAGCCACTAAGAGATGAGGTGTTACTGAGTGGGAAAGAATATGCAGAAAAGGAAAAACTTTATTATGGAGAGAGAACAATAAAGGAACAGAAGATATTTTTTTTTTAAGATCAATGACCAGAAGAGAGTTCGACGCGCGGAATGTGCGAGAGAGGAAACTCTTAGCATAGAACTTACGTTTGCATCTAGCTAATTGGACTGTAAATTGATGAAACCTAGCTGTCGATCTTGTGCTGCGTTTAAATTCCTAAGCTCGAGCTACAAAAGCTGATCAGAACAATCACATTGAAAATATTTACAGAAAAGTGTGTTTGTGCAGCGTTACAGTTTTCGTACGCTTCCCTGGAGTAACGTCCATCAAAGACAGTAGCCGTAGGACAACTAATTGACAGTCGAGAAAATAGTGTCTGGGCGTGACAAAATGCAAAAACACGGATGACGCAATAATTTTCAAGGAAAAAACAAATTTTATAATATACCTTGAAAATAGATTCATATTACTGCACGCCACTGCAAATAACCTAATCTGAGAAAAAAATATAGAAATCGATTACACCCGGTCACTCCAGTGGATCTAAAACTGACCGTTATGTGAAATCAAGGAAAGTAAAGCGTTTGTTTCAATTCATTTGCGCAAGGGTGTATGTTACGGTGGTGGGAAAGTGAGATGCCAGGTCAGAACTGATAAAATAACAGATTCCTCTTTGGAATTTATGGAGAATCTCTAAATACGCATCAGAAGAACTAGACCAATCTAGAAGCAATATTCAATGCATGGTAGACTCATAAACATACAAGACAGATTCTGGTGAGAAAATCTGTCTCTCACGACACAATGAAACAAAACT